CTTCGAAAGAAAATATTTATCATGTGATAGCCTTGCTCGATCTTCTCAGAAATCTTCTCTTAAATAAAAACCTATGATGAATTAGTGGTGTTTTTCAGAACCGAAGAAACTGTAATTGCTTTTGATGAAGAAAATCAACCACATACCCATCGCAGTGTTTTTTATTACTCTTATACAAATCAGACAAGTAGCGGCCGTTCATATGCTCAAGAACGACATGATCATTTGGGCTATTGTTATGGTTGGGCTGTAAATCAACCAAGTTGCACCATTTTGTTTAGAGACAATATTTATGTTGTGGCTCAGAATCTTTGTTGCATAGCTAAGCAAGGAAATTATGGTGTATCTATTAATTGGCTTCAAGGTGCAACATGGCTTGGAATAGAACAAATACATGGTAGAACTGTTGATCATTGGTATACGTTCGGACGTGAATATTGGAGTGAAGTTGATGAACCAAGAAATGGCGTACGCTTTTCGGGACCTAATTTAAAAGCACCTCATCAATTTACTGATTATGATGTTTGGCAAATTAGTCGACAAGATCCACGTCTTTTTGATTTACCAAAAGATACTGATTGTAGTCAACCATGCCCATAATGAAAATCATGGGGAAAGATTTAAAATACCTTCTGGAAAACAATTGTTAAGAGGACAATTTAAGTTGTTCTCTAATAAAAAGAAATATCAATATCAGTTCTTCTTCATCATATTCATTATATTCATATGAAATGAATAAGGAAAGTGGGAAGGGTGTGAGTGTGGGTGGGTGTGGGCCTGAGTGTGGGTTTGTGTGTGGGTGTGAGTGTGAGTGAAGGGGGGTGTGGGTGGATGTGGGTCTGGGTGTGCGGATGTGGGTGGGGGTGGGGGTGAGGGTGGGTGTGAGGGGGTGGGTGTTGGGTGTGGGTGTGGGTATGGAGATCTCTCTAATCACATTCACATCCACACCCACATCCTGTGCTTTAGAGATCGGAAAAAAAGATATCTTTAAGTGAACGGAACTATAGTGTTGTTGCGTCGATAAACTAAAACTGATACTAGATTAATAGCTGAAATAAGCAAAGGAGCGATTAAACGAAGAATTAGTGTTAGTCCACCATAAAGGTTCAATATGATTGTAATAACTTGAAGCCAATCTTTTCGCTGGGACACCGAATAAGTGCATGTCAACGGTTCACACAAAGAGAAAAATGTCGAGTAAGATATGTTGTATAACCATTGTTCCACGAATCCATTCGCAGCCAAATCTTGAACTGTACTGTTCAGCATGAATCGACTCGGTAATGAAGCATCAAGTGGATGAATGAACGATAAATTCGCAACGTTTATCAAATTTAGACATGTCTCATTGTAGAGACAAATGAGAGTAGATCGAAGAAGCGATTCCATTGGAAAACAACCAAGAACAAAACCAGGTATTATTTCATTACCAACAAAAACTGGTTCCGTGCATGCTAACGACGTTGCACACGAACAGTTGGGTCCATGAGAAACTGGTCGAGTGGGAATACGATAGTATGGTATTTGATTGTTTCCTTCTAACGAATAAACCCAGTTTGAAGAGAAGACATTCATCAATTGGTTACTCTGTACTGTTCCTCTGCCAACCCGAAGTATTGAGAGAAAATCAATCATGTTCCAATCTTTTGTATTATCAATTTCAATTTTGATTTGCAAAAGGAGATGTTCTTTCGGAATGACTTGACCCTTAAATATTTGTTTATTAAACATGGTCTGAATAGTGTTGTGCACTGTAAGCTGAGCCATAGCGCAAAGAGATTTTTGGGCGAGGAAATAGGCAACGCCGCGACTATGAAATTCGTTTGATGGTAAATGCGACCAATTGCCATTGCCAAATATATTCTCAATCCATGCAGCCTCTACAAATGGACTAGTGCAAACCTGATGCATTTGAGCTTCTAGTTGTACGAAGGAATCGTATGTAATTGATATTTGTGTACAGGGACACTGAACCGATGAACTAACAGAAAGCATAAGATGTTCATAGGTTGCTTCTGTTGGCCGTTCAACATTGATTGTAATGGTTTCTTGAGCTAGAGAGTTGTAAACTAATAAAATAGTAAAGACTAAGGTCCAGAGTATCATGTACAGTCGAGTCGTATGCCGTTCAATTTCTAATGTCAAATGTGAAGATATGCGTGGATTGAAGAAGAGATTGAGATAGATCAGTTTACCATGTAACTCACGTAACAGACGAAACAAATCAAGACGGCCTATTTCAAAAATCATTTTAGAGACTATAAGTTGAATAAAGCATTCAACGTTGCATAGAAGATCAATAGATTGAAAACAT